ACAGTCCTCCACGGTGTGATGGGAGCTCTCACACCACTGGCAGTGCATCGCCTGCGGCTGTCCTGTACCTGCAATCAAACCAGAACGATCGATAGCTGAAACCAGCTTCGATACCACCTGCACCAAATCAGATGACTGGGTGCCCACAGCATGCACACCCCGTCCTGGTGCTCGTCTCGATCTCCTGGCAGTGCCCCAATCGTACCCGTTCTCCGCCATCTCCTCAAAGAGTTGATTCAGCTGTGGCGGTGTTTTGGTCAGCATGTTCCCGCCACAAACCGAATCAATCAGCTGCTTGTCCTCCGGGAAGAGGGCGTGATAGAAGGTGCCCACCTTGAAAGCATCATTGAAACCATGATTGGGACACCTGAGAAAGAGACTGGTGTATCTCTCCCAAGCATCCCTGATGGTCTCATCCTCATCCTGAGCAAAATGTGTAATTTGCTTCTGCAGGTCAGGTCTTGGATGGAGGATGGTAGCGGGTGAGGAACTTGTCCGCCAGGTTGGCGAACGTGGTGATAGAGCCCGGAGGTCGAGTGTCTAGCCACTCCTTGGCTTGCCCCTCCAGAGTAATGGGAAGTACCTCAGCTGGATGGCATCTGCTGGTACCCCATTGATCTTGATTCCATCGATGAGCTCGTGGAATCGCCTGAGATGTGATCGGGGGCACTCCCCTCCTTACCACGGAACACCACTGAACCGCGCAGCATGGTGATTACTGAGGTGCTCACCTCAAAATTGTTGGCTGGGACATGAGGGTGTTGAATGGGTGACCTCATGTCCGCAGCTCTAGCGGTCCAGTAGGATCCCATGGTCTGCTCCTGGATTGATCACATCATGGTTCTGTGGATCAGCCATCTCTTCTTCTTCTTCTTCGATCTGCAGCTGTGATAGCGCCTCCTCCGCAGCCAGTCGCGCCTTTAGAGCCCGCTTGAAGTTCCTGCAGGTTCGTTCAAGCTCCTGGTCTAATGGTAGTAGATCTCCCGACTGGCTACGGGTCATGCACTACCTGCACACAATCAGCAGAAGCAACCCGTGAAGGCACACAGGTGGAAGAGAAAAATGCAATAAAGAAAAAGCTAGAGTAACAAATTCTCACGTTTCCCCAATAACCTAGAGGGTCCCCGGCAACGGCGCCAAAAACTTGACACGCCAAAACACAACACCAAACTGCGACCAAGTGTAATCGCAGTCCGGGAATGCAGTAACAGGCAAGTTCTATTATCAACCCGGGGTCTAGATCTACTGCTTACTCCGTGATTATCTATTATCTAGCAACTAATTCGAGTGATTGTTGTTTAAAGCAAAAGCAGTAAGAAAGCAGGAAATGGTTCGGTTTTCAAAGCAGGAAGAGTCACTCGGGAATGAGTCCCCCTAGCCCCTTAGTTAGGTTCAATTGTAATTCCCTGGGTTGATTCACTGTTGATTAGACTGCGGAAGATCCGACAGTAGCTTGGAATCTCTTAAGCTGACCAAGCCCTCTCAGTCTAACTACCCGGCAGACGACTAGTCTTCACCGGGATAGAAAGCTGAGCATGAACACAGAACTCCACTACTGGAATTGAATTCCAGTACAAAGCAGTAAACTGGCTAACTCTCGTATAACCAATCTCCTACTATCGAATGAAGGCTCTAACAACCTAATCAGATTCTATCTATCTCAGGTTGCAGCAGAAATCGAGAAAAGCTGATCAGACTTCAATCAATTCAATAAACATGCATCATTCGATTAAAACAAACAGTATAATCATCCCAAGTCATTACAATCAAATCCCTAACACAAGGAACTAGGGTTCTTCATACCCAAGTGAGAGAAGGTTCTACTCCATCTCTCTTCGGTTCTACCAGAAGCATAGACTGTTTAGCTCATGCACTGGACTCTGAACTTTCTGGCTCTGGAGATACATCCTCATCATGTTGATCTTCTCCACCTTGGTGCTCAAACTCACTCTCTTTGAGAGTTTGCAGCTCCACCTGTTTATCAACATTCCTGCTTCCTTCAACAACAGTAACCTTCAACATGGGGTTAAACATAGACTTCTCATCAAATATCACATTTCTACTGAGTATAACTCGATGCTCAGAAGGTGACCAGACTCGAAATTTCTTAACTCCATCTCCGTAACCCACAAATACACCCTTCTTTGCCCTTGGGTTCAGTTTACCCTCATCCACATGATAATAAACAGGACACCCAAAAACTTTCAGTGAAGAGTAATCAGCAGGCTTACCATACCACACCTCATAAGGAGTCTTCAACTCGATACCTGTGTGAGGTCCACGGTTGATCAGGAAGCACGCCATGTTCACTGCTTTTGCCCAGAATCTTCTCTCTAGTCCAGCATTAGAGAGCATGCACCATGCTCTCTCCAACAATGTTTGGTTCATCCTTTCTGCAACGCCATTCTGCTGGGGTCTATCTCTAACAGTCCGATGACGGGCAATCCCTTCATCCTTGCAGAATTCGTTGAACTCAGAACTACAGAACTCCAGACCATTGTCCGTTCGCAGCTTCTTGATATTCTTACCGGTCTGATTCTCCACCAATGTCTTCCACTGCTTGAACTTCGTGAAAGCCTCACTTTTATGCTTCATCATGAAAATCCAAGTAAATCTCGAATAATCATCAATAATAGACAGAAAATACCTGCGACCTCCAATGGATTCAACTCGTGAAGGACCCCAACAATCGGAGTGGAGGTAATCCAGTATCCCCTTTTTCCGGTGGATACCCTTCTTGCGAAACTTGCTGCGATGTAGCTTCCCAAACAACAATGCTTGCAAAATTCCAAATTCTGCACCTTGTGCCCGCAAAGAAGATCCCTCTTCGACAGAACTTGCATTCCCCGTTCACTCATATGCCCCAGTCTCATGTGCCAGAGAGTGGTCATATCTTCCTGATGAACCTGAGACAATGCAACTGCAGCAGAACCAGACAACACAGACCCTTGTAATGCATACAAGGTCCCACACTTCACGCCCTTCAGTACCTTCCTCGAACCCTTGCAGACATACAAAACTCCACCTTTTTCTTTGAAGCTGAAACCCTTGCTGTCTAGTAGACTCAAGGAGATCAGGTTCTTTGTCATTCGTGGAACATGTCTGACATCATTCACGGTACAGAACACACCATCATGTGTCCGAACCTTTATGGACCCGATTCCAACAACCTTACAGACAGCTCCATCAGCCATGACCACGTTACCACCATCTATCTGCTCGTAGGTTGTGAAGCAATCCCTGTTCGGAGACATATGATATGAGGCTGCAGTATCGAGAAACCACACATCCCCACGATGTGCCTTCTCATCTATAGCCAAGGCGAGATCATCTTCAGAACTGTTTTCCACTTCTGCCACGGCAACTGAACCTTATTTCTTCTGTTGCCCTCTTCTCTTGGGACAGTTGTACTTCCAATGCCACACTTCCTTACAGTTGTGACAAGCATCACCTGGCTGTGGATCGGGACCCTTGGAATTCTTGCTCGAATTCCCTTTACCAGATTTCTTCTTTCCCTTTCCACCTGTAACAGCCAAACCCGATGCCTCACCACCTGTACCAGATCCAGACGCCTTATGCCTGATTTCTCTCGTATGAAGAGCAGACCTCACATCCTCCAACGACACGCTTTCTTTACCAGCATTAAAAGAATCAACGAAATTCTCATATGAACTCGGCAAAGAAACCAGCAGGATTAGGGCAGCATCCTCGTCATCAACTTGAACATCTATATTACGCAGATCCAGTAAAATAGAGTTAAGCTGTTCGAGATGTTCCCTCAAAGGCGTACCTTCTTGCATCCTCAAGCTGAACAACCGTTGCTTGAGATGCAGCTTGTTGGTTAAGGACTTCGTCATATACGGACTCTCCAACTTTAACCACAAGCCCGCGGTAATCTTCTCAGCAGCGACTTCAATGATGACGTCATCAGACAACGATAGCATGATGGTCGAGTGGGCCTTCTCCTCCAGGGTATTCCACTCATCGTCATCTACTGCTGCCTTCTTCTGTTTCGCAGACAGCGACCCCCACAGCCCTTGCTATTTTAATAAAGCCTGCATCTTGATCTGCCATATAGCGAAGCTGTTCTTCTCTGTGAACTTTTCGATCTTCATGTTCACTGACGTCATTCTTCTGAATCGAAAACCCTAGCCTGATTTCCAGGCGCGGCTCTGATACCAGTTGTTATAAACGCGCTGCTACGGATCGGGAAATCGCTGGAATCGACAAAGCAAGAATACGAAAGCGAGAATCGAAAACACGACAAACGATTTACGTGGTTCACTAACACGATGTGTGTTAGCTACGTCCACGGGCGAGAGAGAGCCATTTCACTATATCGAGGAGATTACAAATTACAGAGGAGTATGAGAAGTATTTATAGTACTTCTCCATGTGGGTCTAAACCTAATCCAATCTGGTAAAGGAAACGGTTACAGACCAGACCCAGAACCCGATTCAAGTCACATCAACAATATGGACAAGAAATATTATACATTTTTTTTTCTATATGGCCGAAAGTAACATTGCTGATGTCCTCTACGTACAATTGTGTCATGTACAAGAGTTTTCTAGTATTACCACCTCTATCAATACCGTGCAATTTTCTATGTCACTCAAATCTTAAATAACATCGTAGTACGACTCATGCATATTCTAATATAAATTACGACAATGACAACATTTTATTAATAGCCACCATCCAGATGTAGTCGTTGAATCGCTAAAGTCATTTTGCTTAGTAACAAATTTGTACGACATCTTAAAAATGAAAAGGTCGTTGTAGCTTATTTGGTTTTAGTTTGTTTAAATTTATACTAGTGGTGCTTAATAAAATTATATGTGAAAAGAGGTGATATTATATACAACTCTTTAACAAAACAGTAAGATTAGATAGGCCTAGTACTACAAAGCAGAAGCTTGAACTCGTGCTCGGACATTGAACCCTAACCAGAAAGTAAGAAAGAAACAAGAAGGAAAGAAGAAAGTAGATAAAAAAAATGAGCTTCAAAGCGACGACTACTCCAACCCTTCCCTTCATTGATTTCACTAAAACGGATGATCAGCTGATGAAGCCAGGCACTCCCGAGTGGGAAGCACTGAAATCCCAAGTGTTCGCAGCGTCGAAAGATTTCGGCTGCTTCAGAGCTCGCTTCCCAGACACACCCCTCCAAGCTGCAATGGCAGTCACCGCCCAACTCAAGCAACTCTTCGACCTCCCTCTCGAAACCAAGCAGCGAAACGTTTCGGAACTGCCGTTCGGCGGGTTCATCGGCCAATCCACTTTCGCCCCTTTGTACCAGAGCTTCGGGATCGACGATCCTTCCAGCATCGATAAGCTCCAATCCCTGACTCACGCCCTCCTACCTGAAAACCCCTCTTTGAGGTTTTTTCGCAACCAAACTAGTGGTCGCTAAAGGCATGACATTAGTAACGAATTATGTATTTTTTTTTTTTTTTGTTCATTGTCGTCCTTTACTTGCAGCGAAACTATTCGGTCATTCGCCAAGGAAGTGTCGGCGGCGGAGGCAACGATCAGGGTAATGTTACTGGAGAGCCTTGGTATCGAAAAGTACAAGGAAGAGCATCTCGAATCGTCGTTCGACACGTTGAGATTCATGAAGTACGATGGGATCAGCGAGGAAGAAGCTAGTGACGGAGAGCACAAGTTGGGGCTGAATTCCCACATGGATCAAGACCTGATGACGGTTCTCTACTCCAACTGGGCGGGCGAGTTGGAGATCTTCACCAAAGATGGCCGGCACTGGATCAGCTCGGAAGCCACTTCAGATGACTTTGTGGTCTTCGTCGGAGAATCTCTTCACGTATGTGGTTGTGGTGTGGCTATAAAAAGGAATAATTAAACATTGCTTATTTGGGGGGGGTTTTTTTTTTTTTATAATGTCTGTGATGCCGCAGGCGTGGACTAACGGGCGACTGCACTGTCCGTACCATAGAGTGAAGGTGACGGGAAGGGAGGTGAGGTACTCGGCGGCAGTGTTCACGGCGTTTAAAGTGGGTTACACGGTGGAGGCGCCGGCGGAGCTGGTGGACGAGGAGCATCCTTTGCTGTATAAGCCGTTTGATCATTTGGACTTCTTGAAGCTGTTGGAGAGAGATGCCGGGAAGGCGTATTTTGGGGATGAACTCAATGCTTATACCCCTCTCAAGGCTTATTATGGTATTTCTCCTATTGATTAGTAGTTTGTCATGTTTGTAATATAACAATCTCATTAGTGACGATCGATTTCGCTTGTGTAGTTCGTCCACTTCCCTTTTTCATCTTATGGTATGGTGCCAATGTCTCTTTGTGAGATGTCGAGACACTTTTTCCAACATTTATGTGTCCAATCTTGCAACCTGCTATGCCAGCGTGCACTCGTCAACAAAGTACATGCTGAAAAACGTATCTGTAAATGGAAATTAGGGTTCAACAGGGAAAAGGAAGTGGAATAGAAAGAAAAATGAGAGATGGAATCGACAGAGAGGAAGGCAATGAGCTTGTTGAAAATGACAAAATTAAACTACTCAGGAAAAATGAAAGGCAAGAAAATAAGTTGAAGAAGACGAAAGGAAAATGATGAATGTTCTTTAGAGCTTCACTTTGTCTTCTACTTCGAATCTTCCACTTACTCCTAAATGGGCTGGATAGTAACCTAAGCCCACAATCACACATAAAAAGAAACAATTCAAAAGCCCACATGTACAAACACAACGTACGTTTTAACGAAGACTCACACACCAAGTTTATTTTTGGGCCCAAGACAATTGATTGAAAAAGTGCCAATACTATGGTGCCGCTAGTAAAAGTGCGGTACCGATGTCTCAAATATTTTATTGGTCCACGTTGCATTGTTAGCGTAACTTCGCATTAATGGTTGATTCCGAGCCCAAATTCGTGGCCCATCAACCGAGCCAACCTTCCATGAATTCCCACAATTTCTTTTTCTGTCTCTTGTTCTTCATATACGTTTTTCTACTTTTTACAATATATTTTTTCACTTCCTTTAATTAATTAGTTATTTTATTTTTTTCGCCCAAAAATTAACTAAACCCAAATACAATCTGATAGTCTTCTTCACACTTCCTCAGACCGTTATATGAGCAAAACGTCCGACAAATTTCTTTGTCGTCGATCTATCTCCTATACAACTTCTTCAATTTACTTCATTTAAATTCCATTAATGGCTTCCCCATACAATATTACCTCTCACTACACATTTTTCTGCTTCTTTCTCTGATTTTGCCTTCAATCGACCTCGTTGATTTTAGGGTTAATATTTTCGTATGGCCTGAACTTTGACCAAAATAAACATTCTGACCAAACTTTTCGATCTATAACATCCTGGCCCGAACTATACACCAAAATAAACAATTTGGCCAAACCCGATGTTTGACCGTTAACTTGGACGGTCAAACACGTTGACTAACGGTCAACGCGCCACGTCACTGCCAATTCAGAAGATCTGATAAATATTTAATTTTTTTCGTTTTTTATTTTTGGTTTAACTAAGGTATTAGATGATTTTTTTAAATTAAAATAATTTAAAATTCGGGAATGTGTGGAAATTGTGAATTATTTTAAATATTTTATGCTGACTTGGCAGTGTATGGCGCGTTGACTAACGGTCAACGCGTTTGACCGTCCAAGTTAACGGTCAAAAGTCGGATCTGGCCAAATTGTTTATTTTGGTGTATAGTTCGGGCCAGGATGTTATAGATCGAAAAGATTGGCCAGGATGTTTATTTTGGTCAAAGTTCAGGCCATACGAAAATATTAACCCTTGATTTTAATATTGATTATGCAATCGGCAAATATATTCGTTAACTCGCTAGGCTTGAACCACACCAATTAGTTATATTTGTTTCTTTTTCCTGTTTAGTAGGATCAGCCAAAATTGAATCAATCCTCTCATCTAGGGATGGCAATTTACCCACCCATGGGTAATTTTGCCCAAACCCAAGTAGATCCATTTATTATGGGTAGGGTTTGGGTGATGTGTGTATGGGTTTGGGGTTTGTATATGGGTTTGGGTTAGATATGGATATTATCTAAATGGGTATGGGTTGGATATGGATATCCATTTACTTGAGGGTGTTTTAACTACACATGCAAAAATTGGACTTATTTGTAAAACTTGAAAATTTTAGGTACCAAAATGTAAGACCAAAAAAATTTAGGTACCAAAACGTAATTTTCCATCGATATTTTGAGGACTTATATGCAACAAAAATTAAATTTAGGTACTAAATATGCATATCTATTAAGTTTAGGTACCAAACTGTAATTTGTATTTGGGCATGGGTACAAACCCAAATCCATTTGTTATAAACCCAACCCAACCCAAAATAAATGGGTATGGGTACAAACCCATCTAACTTTACCCATATATATATATTTGGATTTCATACCCAACCCAATTGGGTTGGATAGTAAAATACCCATGGGTATGGGCAAAATTGTCATCCCTACTCTCATCCGTGGTTGACATCGCTACTTTGTTCATCAAATCGTCAAAGAGTTAATGAAATGCAATGTCCTCTTGTCAAAAAAAAATCGTCAAAGAGTCTGAGAAGTAAAGGAAAACCTAATGTTCGACCGTTGTCGCCGCCATCAAGCCAAGACCCCCCCAATTTCTCCTTCCCAGTCATTTCCCCACATGACAAATCTGCTCTTTTGTTTCCTCCGTATCCTGAGGCGATATTCTTCGCTATATCGGCTTTCCGACAACATTGGTCTCATACATATAGCGACTAACAATGAAACAAAATGGATTTCTAATGGAGTCTGGCGATTCTGCTTTGGTGCTTCCCCTTCCATACGATTTCAACGCGGTTGCATGCATCGATACCAGGTGAGATTTTGGTTTATATCTCAATCTCACCCCTTTCTCTGATCTCCCTTCGTTCAAGAATATCACAACTCCAGATCCGTCGACTGTCCATTGCGAAATTCAAGATTTAAACCCAAAGGAAATTGCAGGCTGTGCGAGAGGAGCAATACTGATTTGCTATGATTTAGATGAAATTCGAAGAAGAACTGGTCAGGAACGTTGAGGGAGGGCGAGGGGGATGATGGGCTCGCTTGCATTTTTTCCCCCTTACAGTCCCGAAGAAGAGGAAGAAGACGAGGTTGTTTGGGGATTTTCGTTCTTGTTTTTAATTTTCTAGAGAAAAACCAAACTAATTTATCAGTAATCACTTAGAAAAAATTTGAAAGGGAATTAAGAAAGAAAAAAAAACGTTGGACGAGGAAGGGAATTGTAAAGTAAAAATAAATGGGATGGATATAGTTTTTTTTTTTTCGTGGGTGAATGGTTCAGTTGATGAGTCGTGGCCCAAGTCTTGATGATTTTGGGTTGGATTTTAACAAAAATAATCAAGCCACATTAATTGCCACGCGGACCAATTAAATGTTGCGGTACTGGTACCGTACTTTTAATAGTGGCAACATAGTATTGGTCTTGAATAAGACACCAGAAAACAAAGCAATAAGATTAGTGATCATAAACGCTTAACGGTTTAATCACTAATCGCATCGTTAACCAATTGTTAATGGTTAAATCAATAATCCCTAAGAAAAATTAGAATCTCTTCACAGAGGATGATAATTCCTAATTGAGTTACCAAGCCATACACAGTTTATAATCGACGATTAGCGGTTAATTGACTAATAACTGATAATGGTTGTTAACCACCAAAAATTGGCAAAACGCCACACTCAACTAAGAAAACGACTTCACTCGACCAGTATGCACTTAGTGACTTCAATCTCCTTGTCTTCCCGGCCCAAACAAAGAATAACGGCGGCTGACAAGGTTGTGCCGCGAACCAAGAATCGCTGGCCGTCGTGCTATGAATGGACATTCTCTGGTGAATTCCTTATCAGACCGGCGGGAGGATGATAGAGAGAGAGGCAAGCGACGGTGGCCGACTTTGATTTTGTCGTTTGTCAGCCCATGTTACTTGGATGGAGAAGATGGAAAATAAGGGAGTGTGCAGCTAAAGTTCTTAATATCCATCATTATCTTTTTATACATTCTCTAAAAAAAAACAATTATGCCTCTTACCTTTTGTCAAATACAAAATCCTACCGCCATAATCTCTTTCAGGTGGATTGGCGGTTAACCGCTAAAATTTATCAACTTGTTCCTCGAGATACACACATTGTGTAATGAATGATTTATTATTTGGGTTCGTCCCATCCCTTACTTGTCCAGGTAAGGTTAGGGGTCGTATTCGCTTTGTCGGTTAACGGTATATCTAGTAATCGTACCGGTAACTGGCGATATCGGTAGATGGTAGGCAAAAAAAAAAAAAAAAAAGGTATACCGGAGTGTACCCGGAGAGAACCCAACTAACCTCTCTAGCTTCATCTTCTTCCCAATCGAGCATCCTCTGTAGAGAATGGGAGAGCAGAAGCAGCACCCAATCATGCTATGACTCCCCAATTCCACCAGGATTCACGATTCCTCCAGGATTTCACAACTTCTCATCTCTATCACTTAGTTGAATGAGCATGACCCAAATGCATGCACTTGAAGCATGATTCATTGCGTCTATAGAAGAAGGGGCCATTGCGGCGAAACAAGACTTCATGCGCAGCTGGAAGTTGGAAGACATACGACCCTTACCCTCCCTGCCTCACTCATCTTCTCTCATCTTCATTCCTCCCAATCAGCAACCTAACCCTAAAGATCGACGACAGCGACGCCTCATCAGCATCAGTTCGCCACTCACCGGAGAGAGGAACTTTCGTCGGCCACTATTCGAAACAATCCAAGTCTAGAAGAGACACTGTCTTCGGTCCTCCCAATCAGCAGATCTTCGTCACGACTAGGTCTGATCCCCAGTTGAACGTTCTGGCGGTGACCATCCTTTCAATGGATTTGGCGGACGAGGAGAGGTCCGCGACTGCGAGGGATTTTATGGAGATTGCGAGGTGGATAATGTATTTACTTGGCAGTGCCCAATTTGGGGGATTTCTCTCTCTTCTGCCACGATGCATTTACTTGGCAGTGCCTAGTTCTGTATAACCGGTAATCGCATATCCGGTTAACCGATACCAGTATTCGAGGTTTGTTTTGCCACTTTCGCTATACCCATAACTGGATGATTGGTAACCTGTTTAACCGGAAACTGACCGACTATTAGCCCTAGTAAGCTAGTACTTCTCCAGTACACCGGGAGGCGTCCTTACC